TAGTTAACTTGGTGCCCAGCACCCTGAACGGTGTAAACCAATTCTTCCCAGTGATGCGCGGGTCTCTATCAGAGACAATTGACTCCGGGAGTCCATGTTGTCGAAAGACACGATCAACAAACAGCGTCCCTGTACCAACAACGTCGTTGGTACCCGAAATTGCCGCAAGATAGCCGTCTTGCTCAAACAGTTCACAAAGATCACCACACTCGTGTTACCCGCCGAATTCTTCGGCAGGCCACACACAAAGTCCATACTCATGGACAACCAACACCCGGATGGTACCGGTAAACTGGCCAGCGGCGCTGCCGCATTTGGAGAGGCGTCTACTCACAACCGCGATGACCACTGAGTGGAGTGTCGTGGGTCTCATTAAGAATGCGGTATTTCAAATCCTCTTCGTGAGGAACCAAATTTCATGGCGTATCCGTTAAATCGGTGCTATAATACAGCAACCCGTCATTCAACATATATCAGTGTAACCGTGTGCGCAATTGCGCCGACAATTTTTTGCTCGATTTTCCAAACTCCTTGCTCCCGAGAGCCTGAAGCAGCGCTACACACATAACGTCAAATGCGTATGCGGTGCGGATCAACTCCGTCTCTGACGACGTGACCGTCGTGACATTAGCAAGCTCATAATCTAGTCTGCGTGACAACGCATCAGCCAAAGCATTCTGCTTTCATGGCTAATGCTTCACCTCGAAGTTATATTCTGCAAAGAATGAAAGCCACCTATCCATCTCTGCGAGAGGTGAGGCGACTGAGTCGCAGTGCGTAATGACGCATGATCTATGTAGATCACAACGGCTTTGAGCCAAGCAGGTCCATCCTGTGCATACTTCATTGCAAGTAATTTCTTGTCGTAGACTGGGTTATTCCAGACCACAGTCTTAAGCTGGCAAGATTCGAACGCGATCGCTCGATCTTGCCCCTCGGCGTCTGCTTGTAACAGTGCATAGCCGATGGTAATGTCCGAAGCGTCACAGACGACACTTAAAGGATGATCGGGGTCTGGCAACGCCAGTATTGGTGCATGAAGGAAGCTGTATTTGACCCTGTCAAAAGCCTTCCAACACTGGGTGTTTTAACACCATTCCGTATACTTCTAATGAGATTCGACAATGGCCGTGCCATTTTTGCATAATTTGCGCTATACTGGTGCAAGTAGTTGGCGAGGCGAAGCCACTAGCGCAAATTCTTTTGGTTCTTTGGGATTGGCCAGTCTACAATCGCCTTGAACATAGCGGGATTTGCTAGAAGGCCACGCTTCCCAATGTAGCACTCTAGGAAGGGATTTCTTCAGCGCCGAAGATGCACTTATTTGCATTGGCATACAGCTTATTCGTGCGCATGCACTGATGCCCCGCTCTGAAATGGACGATGTGGCTCTCAACATCCGTCCTCTCGTGCCCCGCATGACTGTGGACGAATCTGTCGCTGAGGTATGTTTGTGCATACGCCCGGTGAGGCCTAAAGAGCTGCGCCACAGGACGATTAGATGTTGCTGGTGCATTTGTAGCACTTGGGCATCACCAGACACTCCCAAATCAACTCGCTCGGTGTACTAACCGTTGTCTGCGGAATATCACTCGCTCTCATGAGCTATTGGCAATACCCGTCGACCAAGTCGAGTGCGCTGTGCTTTGCACCGTCAACCATATTGCTCGGGATAGCATTCTTCTTAAGAATCGGCGTCTGTGCCGGAATGGTGGCAGCGTTTAGCTTATTGTATGTGTGAACGATACGCCACTTACCGTCCGGCTGTCGGATACAAAACGTGGGTATCGAATGGGGAGATTTACTCTCACGCACCTTTCTGCGCCGTGCTTCGCACAGAAAAAGGAGTCAATGGCATCACAATGCTCATTGGGCAGGGGTTATTGGCGTGTTACGCAGTATTTGGTTCCCGAAACCAGGTCGATCTCATGGCGCACACCTCTGTCCGGAGGTAGGACCGACGGCGGGTATTTGGAGACGACGTCTTTAAGTTCTTTTACTAAAGGACAGTACAGATCTTCAGGATCGACGATCTACATCGTGCATTTAGCACTCTCTTGGTGTCCTGGAGGACAGCTTTGTCTGGAAGCGACGACGAGTTGATTACCTCTTCCAGTCGTATAATAACCACTTTGGCTAAGTCGCCTGTCTTTAAGGCGCCGCCGAACTCTTCAAGGGACACCTCGTCCAGCCCAAGAAGAGATCCCATCGCGGGAAAAGTCTCGAGGCTGACGTCGCCGTTTTACTATCATACCGTTCACAAGGGTGCATAGCTGTGCGCTACAGACACCCTGGGTCAGGGTCGACGCCGTGCGTCTTTTGGATAATACACGGCCTCGCCGTCTCCTCTCTATAGAGACTTTTGTCTCGTCGAGACCAGTTGGAATACGCACTCAGCTTCGTCCAGTGTCCCCACTCCCTGCTCCATCGGAGATTTGATGTTATCAAAACACCCGAAGAAAAGATGCTATTTCCGCAGTCTTCGTCCAGTACATTACGTGCCACTCCACACGCGTCACCGGGGCCTCGCCCTCGATGCCTCGGTCTTTGGCCGACCATGCCACTCTTGGCATGCTGCAACTGCTTTGATACTTGAGCAGTGCTCCGTGGGTTACGTGCCACTTCACGTTCAGCCCGCGAGCCATGCTCGGGACTCTTATTCGATACACCTTCGGTGTTCGACAAATCGGATACTCCGATATCAAGCACATTGACCGTCCCAGAGTAGTACCCGCGCCAAAAGTGCGTTTGCTTCCCAGCAGAGGTGGATTCATAACTCACCAAAGCTCTATCAGAAGTCGTGCGCGTAGCATCCAAGGTCTCCGACCTCCAATCAATCCATGGCTCATGGTGTTCCAGGCATGTCATACCAAGGATAAGGTCATACCTTGCATCCAAATCTAAAACTAGGCAGCGTTCCACGCTATCGAAGCCAAGAAACTTGACACTGAGATCCACAGGAACACTTGGCTCAGGGACACAAGTCCCCATCACTAAGCGAACAGTGACAGTGTCAAACAACCACGCTTCCAGCGCCTCAGTATTCAGCTGACTTCCTTTGATCGTGGAGCGTCGAGCGTAATTGCCCTACACCCCGAAATCGATAAATATCTTCCATGACCTTTCAAAGCCCATCACGGTCGCTTTTACGATCAGCAAGCCCGACTTGCATACACATTCCATGTTCTTGAGCACAGCGCTCTTTGGGGCTGGGCTCTGCTGCCCTCTACCTCTTTGGAGCTGAACAGAATTCTTTCCTAGTAGGGCACAATGGGCTCTGCCGTTTCCCGCGACAAACTAGACTGCGTGAGAAGCGGGATCGTCGGTTCGATAAACCTTGACGCGCCCTTACGCAGAGGACAACCAGTCCGAAGGTGACACGTGTCTCGACATGCAAAAATTGTTGGGTGTTTAAACGCTGCTTGGCAGCTCGGAGCTCTTCCTCCTCCTTTTCAGCATTACTGAGATCCATCGGCTCAGGCCCGCTCGACGAGCTCTGAGGGTGTGAATTTTAACCAAGTTGTGCCGATTTAAAGTTGAATCTGGCATTCAATGCCACATTCACCGTTTTTTTAAAGAAGATGGATGCACACGAAAGACTTCTATCCCGGCCACGCCAGCGCGGAGGCCCTCCATAAAGACAGTAACTGCGACCGCCCCGGGAGAGGATCGGCTGCCATCCCAGCAATGAGAGTACACAACTCTTAAACAATGTCCACCAACACTTCTTGCCCTCTCGGGCGGCAAGAAAACGCGATCGCGCGCGATATGCCAGGTTAGGCGGCGAGAAAACTCGCAAAAGCTGACGCTTCTGCTCCTTCCAGGAGGGGAACGCCGATTCAACCGAAGCACCGCACGTTAGTGCCCATTCTCGTGCTCGCCCCCCAGCTTGGACATAGCTGGCGTCACGCGCTGTTGCTCGTTCTGAAGCATGGCGGATGCCATAGCCATCTCGGCCTCTTTTACACAGAGCTGGAGATTCTCTTCATTCTTACCCTCAAAGGTCTTAACGCTCACCATGAGCGGCTTGGGTCGGGGGGATAATCCGTCGTCGACGGTGGCGTTATGGACGCAGTCGACGCCGACTTTATCTGATCTAGGTGCCCTAAAAAAGCATTTTCATAGCTTCAAACAACTCTAGACGCGCGCTTATCGCTTCCGTGCGAAGCAAGGTGTTGCACGCCCTCAGGGCCAAGCAGAGTCATCAGCTTTTTAAGCCCGTCCTGCACGCCCTAAAGCAAATAGGAGAATTGCTCCATCCTCACAGAAAATCGGTCGTTACGACTCAGGCGTAGATTGACTACGAGTGCTATCAAGTGCAGCGGGGCTGCCGTAGCTCTTTGCTTAGAGGAAGCTTACTAAGGTCACCAACCTTACGTTCAATACCAGAACCAGTACGAGTGTAGCGAATCGCAATCTGCTACCTCCAAGAGTACCCAAAACCTTATATAAACCCGTTCGTTCATAATTGAAACTGAATTTGTTTTATTTGCGGCAGAGCCGCCTATATCTAAAACCTTAGGTCTTCGAAATCAAATAGTATAACCTAATCAATATGCAATAACTATAGCAGTCCCGCCACGTAGTGGCTTCTTGTTACGATGTAGCTACACCCTTTGTGTGATTACACTGACTTGTGTATTTCACACCTTTGTACGGCCATACCATCTTGTGTGACCCACCCTTTCATACCAGGGTACGTGTAACCCGTTACAATGATGGCTCATCTCGCTGCTATCGGCGATAATGTCACCGGTGAGGAGACAGCCAATCTGTTCCCCGACATAGTGTTTCGCCAACATGGGTTCTCAGTGGCAATTGTATCAGATATATACCTGTGTATACTCATACCTGCCATGCTAATTTCGTTACTATTTTCATAGAATTTTTGCTTGTGAGTACCCCAAAAGTAATACTAGCATGTCCCTGACTACATTCGGTAATTTTAGTACAACCATGGCATATTAATATTGCTCTATCTCCTTAGAATTTTGATCGGCATGGAGGTCCGATACGCTGACATGACTGACGCGGATGTCTACGCTTACGAACAGGAGTTTAATATGGAAGATGACTGGGAGGAATTACATGCGCACGAAATGGAAGCTATGGAGGAGGAGATGTGTGCCATGGAGGCATTCGGGTTGCAGCAAGTTGGGGATAATCGGCCGCAGACATCGAATGCTTCTAATTCACCCAACCAACCACCTACAGTCAAATCAAACGCTTTAGTAAAAAGAGCAGAGGACACGAAAAATGTGCACAAGCATCTTGACCAAGTCTTGGCTCGATGCGCGAACCTATTGGGTGAGGAAGGAGACGATGACATGGCTATCGAAAATGCGCAGCTCGATTTCGAGCACAAGGAGAGGCAGGCAGCGACAACAAATGCTGCATTTTCAAGCTCATATCTTCTCAGTCGTCCGCCAGTTGACATCGACTCCCTCTCTGTTGTGCTGAGTGATGGAAAGCGAATGTTTTTGCGCAAGAAGCGATCTAGCAATGAGCATGTAACTCCTGGTTCTGTGCGCAGTTTAGCGTCATCACTTGTTTCTATAAAGGAATTAATGGATACTGTTGAGCGGGTACGATGGTATTTAGAATGAGGTGGTAGTGACATAATCTGATGAAATCTTTGCTTGTGCTTAGATGGAGATTGAAGAAGCCACAACTGAAGTTGAAGACACGCTGCATGAAGCTGATTTAGATAATCACGAACGGCTTTTTGCGTCAAATGCTGTATTGTGGCTGGACAAATACAGACCACGGAGTTTTTTGGATCTTTTGAGCGACGAGCGAACTAATCGGGAAGTGTTATCTTGGATTAAGTCGTGGGATCGATTTGTATTTCCGAAGAAGAAGCACTTTAATGGCGCTCATCTAGCCAAACAAATCCTTACTGGCACTCTCGATCAGTCTCAGTGGAATAAGGAACCTACGAAAAGCGATTCTACCGATGGAGATGACGAGGATAAACGTCCACTGATTAAGATCATTTTGATCTGTGGCCCTCCTGGATCAGGAAAAACAACTTTAGCTAACATCGTTGCTCGTCATGCAGGCTACAACCCCATTGAAGTTAATGCTAGTGATGATCGCACGGCCTCAGTTTTGCGTAACAAAATTGTTAGTGCAATGGAGATGCAGTCGATTTGGGGCGAACGTAGACCGAATTGCATTATTTTGGATGAGATCGATGGTGCCATGAACGGCACCGATGGAAAATCTGCGATTGACGTAATTAAAGAAATTGTCAATGCTCCCTTACAGAAGAAGAAATCAGGAGGGAAATCTGTAGTCAAAAATCGACACCCATTGACGCGTCCACTTATTTGCATTTGTAATGACTTGTATGCATCCGTGCTGCGCCCATTGCGTCAAATATCTAAGATTTTCACATTAGACAGTCCACACTCGCAACGACTCGTTTCGCGTTTGAAATACATCTGTCGTAATGAAGGCATAAAAGTTTCCACAGGGGCGCTAGCAGCTCTGTGCTCTAGCGCTGAAAATGACATTCGCTATTGTCTAAACACTCTTCAATTCCAAAGCACACGATCAAGAGGAGCTGTGATGAGTAAATTGACTCTCAGTAATGGACTCGTTGCTCAAAAAGATCATGTCCATGGTATGTTTGAGGTGTTGGATCTTGTGTTTTACGAAGCGCGCTCAAATATGAAAAAGGGTGAAATTCCTGCAGCTGAAAAGATAAGCGAAGCTGTTGCATCGATCGGAAACTTTCCCTTACTGATCAGTGGATTAGATGAAAATGTACCTAGGATGATCTTTAACGACCCAACGTTAAAAAACATCTGTGATGTTTTCGAGTGGCTCGGACTTGCAGATGAGTACGAAACTCGCGCTCGCTCAGACCAGCAGTTTTTTTTTCAAGCATATATTGAGTTCGCTGCCATCGCAACACACAGATCTTGCTGCACAAGCTCAAGGCGCCGTGTGGAATACCCTCGCGCGCAATTTGAAGCGCAGAAAAGGCAAGATCGGTGCGAAAATATCCTTGTCGCACTATCAGAGGGAGCTCATCTTCAGCCGATTGTACGCGTGGGTACCAGCGTTCTTGTAGTTGATGTGGTTCCGTGTCTCATCGCAAGTCTATCCCCCAACATTCGTCGTATCAATCCGTCTCTCCAGACTAAGAAAGAACAGATCATGATACAGCGGTTGATTGAGCTGATGGCATCGCTTGGACTATCGTTTTGTCACAAATTTCTTCCCGACGGTACTGAAGATTACGAGCTTGAACCGTACGTGTTTTGTATGCTTGTTTTTGATTTCTGGGTGTTTCCCGGCTTACCTTGCTGTGCAGGGCTTTGTACGAGATAGTCAAGTTTCAAAGTAGCGAAGGTACCGCTGTACAGCAATCTATGCTCCCGCTGTCAGTGAGAAAAATGATAGCACGCGAAGTAGAACTGGAACAGATGCGTCGTAGTGAAAACAAGAGTCCATCAGTGAATAACAACGACAACAGGGGTCTGCACTCGGTCAGCAAACAATCCGATAAAGTCACGATCGAAGAAAAGGCTGCGAATGCGACATATGCGCTCCCGAAGCTCAGTGGTACGTCAATAGAGTTGATTCTACGGATATGCCGCCTTTGTCTTGCTCAATTCTTACATTTTTCTTGTCTCTCTAATCTCTAGAAGTAGAGTTATTAAAGAAGGACGAGGCTCTTCGCAAGCAAAATCCATTTGCTTTTGCTCACCGTGAGGCGAAGCGTAAGCGTGATGAGGAGCTGAACGCGAAATTTAAACAGCAGTGCACAAACGATTCTCGTAGGCACAACATGGTGCGCTACAAGTATAACGAAGGCTACACGTGTGGCATTAAAACTGTCGTCTACGTCCGTGATTTAATATGAACTCACTGTTCTTTCGACTGTAAACATATCGAGTCTACCACTCATCTCTACTTTCTTGCTGCTTTCTTTTTCTTTTTTGTCTTCTTTTTGTCATTGTGGCTCGCGGATGCTGGTGCATCTTCAATTCTTGAGTCAGAAATGGTTTGGGCGGGCAGCGTAACCATGGGCCCGAGTATTTCTTGCATTACAAAGCGCAGCAACCTTGTCAGTCGATAGAAATTGGTCGTGTCCACCGTAGCGTACTTCACGGTCTCATTACGTCCTTTGATAGTGCGAGATGCCACAGGCGTAGACTTCGTCGAGTGGTGCGACACCCGCGCAACTACCTTCACTTCATCGTTAGCTGTCACACGCGTCTTGAAGAAAAAACGCGAATTTAAAGGGTCCCCCACGAACGCCAATTTTGTCTGCTCATCGAAGCGTTCCCAGCTTACGGTGCCTTTGGGGGCCATCACTGCAGTTCGTGATTGGAAGATATATGTCCAAATCTTAAGCTTTTAGAGTAGTGTTGGAGTAAAAAAGTATGTGCTCGGTCCTGATAAAGAAACTGGGATGCTGTTTTATATTCCTTAACTTCCTCAGTTCCAATTTTTCTGACTGACCCCGACGATCGACCATGGTCCAACAGCACCAACTATCCACCTTGAACTACGCTGCCACCAATCAAACTGTCTCAACCGTCTAGAAGCTAGCCACCTTTTGCGGACTAGCATGTTTCCTGCTGCACCCGAAGGGGGACGGGAAGCATGTGCCCTGAGGGTGGCGAGAGCTCGGTAGAGGTCGGTGCGGATAGACTCAAGGTGTGGATGGCTGGTGAAGAGATGATCGACGCCATTTCGGTCGTGCCGGTCGCTGTGTTACCGAAGTCTCGCTTTAGCGACAACGAGGATGGTAATGACGACGACGATAGCCTAAATAGTGGAGCCCGCGACAGCCTTGTAAATAGAGGCATTACTAAGCAGCTCGATTCCACGCGCACAGTCAAGTGGGCCCGACAATCTCAATCCAGCGAGACGATTAGAGAGTTTTACTACATCGACAATCGCCGTACGGAATCAGGCAGGCTCGAGCACCGTGTGACATGGATCGATGGGTCTGACCCGATCTGGCTACCCCGCGATCAGTTGATCGAGAATAACATTGCCAAGTTGGCCAAGACTCTTGAAACCGAAAGCCTGTGACAATCTCAGCGTCCTCTCTGTCGTTTGAGCCAATTTACGAAAGATCTTCTACAGCGGGGCTGCCGTAGCTTTGCGCTTATAGGAAGCGTAAGTTAGGTCACCGACCTTTCGTTCTATAC